CCCCGCCGCGCTGCGTTGCGGAGGGGCATGCTGGGAAATGTAGTTCGCTGCGGGGGAGTGGGCGGCGCAGCCCGAGCCCGCGCCTGCGGAGCGCGTCCCCCCCCAGAAGAGGTGGGCGTGGCCCAGGTAGCACGCGCCTAGGCGAGGGTGGGGCCGGGCCTGAAAGAGGCAGAGTGCCTGCGCCCGTAGAGAAGGGCTTGCCCCAGGTAGTGCATGTAAGGCAGGGAAATTATCCTCCCTGGAGGCAAGAGGGGGACTTGTCTCAGGCATCTCTCCCTTGCAATGGAGGGAAGAGGAAAGGACTGTGCTTGCCTCAGGACCTGAGCTCTTTTCCCTACTACACTAGTGTCAGGGCGGTCACTGGGGTGGGCTAATTCTACACTAACACTGCGCAGCTGTAACTCTCTGGCTCAGGGGTGTGAAAAAACACCTGGCTGAGCACAGCAAGTTACAGCGCTGCACGGTATGAACCAGACTACAGAGCTCAGCTAGTCCCCTTGTGGAGGTGGTTTACATAGCTGGAAGATCTCTCTCCCAGCACTGGCGCTGTGGCCACACTTTGTTTAAAGCCACTCTAAACCTTGACGTGCTGACACCACTTTAGTCTGTAACCACAAAAACAACAAGGTGTCCTGTGACACTTTAAAGACTAACAGATTTATTTGGGCATAAGCTTTTGCAGGCAAAGAAAACACCCCACTTCCTGAGATGCATCTGACAAAGTGGGGTTTTGCCCGCACACTACTCTAGGGCTACGTCTACACTGGCAGGAATTTCTGAAAATGCTTTTAACGGAAAAGTTTTCCATTAAAAGCATTTTCGGAAAAGCACGTCTAGATTGGCAGGATGCTTTTCCAGAAAAGCACTTTTTCCGGAAAACCGTCCGTGGCCAATCTAGACACGTTTTTCTGCAAAAAAGCCCCGATTGCCATTTTCGCGATCGGGGCTTTTTTGCGGAAAACAGTACTGTGCTGTCTATACTGGCCCTTTCGGGCAAAAGTCTTTCGGAAAAAGACTTTTGTCCGAACGGGAGCAGCATAGTTTTTCCAGAAAATTACTGATGATCTTACAAGAGATCATCAGTGCTTTTCCGGAAAATCAAGTGGCCAGTGTAGACAGCTGGCAAGTTTTTCCAGAAAAGCTGCTGCTTTTCCGGAAAAACTTGCCAGTCTAGACACAGCCCAGGTGACTAAGTTTCCTTGCCCAGTTCTCTATATTTTACAAATTGTGCTGACTATAAGTGCCTTTGAGTTTATCTCTGGGGTGTGGTGTAACTTAAATGCTTTAAAGCTTGCTCAAGGTGTTTTAAGTCCGAGGGTAGGGCATAAACCTAAACCTGAAGAAAAGTTCTGTATAAGCTCAAAAGTTTCTCTTTCGCAAAGAGAACATATAAGAACAGCCATACTGAGTCAGACCAACGGTCCATCTAGCCCAGTATCCTATCTTCCTTGCTGACAGCGGCCAATATCAGGTGCCCCAGACACAGGC